AGGCCACCAGATGTGGGGCCTCCAGATGTGTGTGAGTCCAGCTGTGTACCTGCAGGTGCCGCAGGTGATGGCTCCCTTGTGCTGGCAGTGTGGGTGGGGGTTCTCTGGGTACTGCTTACAGTGGCATTCACAGTCGGTGGATAAGGACACGGCCAGCGTGTCCCGAATGCCCGGGAGTTTAATGGTGAAAGCCTCCTCCCCCACACAGGAGCTGGCCGTCACCGTGATGTTGAAATAGATCTGGAAGAGTTAACAACACAGGAGGGTAGAAAGCAGGAGCCACCCGCTTAAAGTCTTGCCCTCTGGCCGCTTTCTGGGTGGACATCCAGAGGAACTAGTTCGTTAGAGTCTGGATTATTTCATTTCCTTACTGTACTCCTTAAACTAAAAAAAACGGGCCGCAGCCGTAGCCTAACGGGTACAGCGGGCGGACCATACGCAGAGCCTCTGCTCATAAGCGGGCGGCCTGGGTTCCATTCCAGCCCATGGCCCTTTGGCGCAGGTCTCCCCCTCTCTATCTCTGCCCCCCTTCCTGTCAAGCTACTGTCATTAAAGGCAACTAGAGCCCAAAAAAAAATAAAAAAAATAAAAAAAACTTCTGCCTGCCAGGCACCTTCTAAGTTTAAGGAGGCTTGCATAAAACGTGACCAAGCCCTAAAAAATCTTATTTTAAAGACAGAGAATGCATATCTTTACCTTTAGCCCAGACCAAAGGTTCCCTTTAAGCTCAATCAAATCAACTCCCGTTCTGGATTTATCTTCATCTCTACAGCTGATTTAATACTTTGTGGAGAACAGAGAGGAACACTGACCTCTTCTCCCACAAGCACTTCGTTGCACACCCCTCTGCTGGTGCTGGGGGGTTCTCCATTCTTACACAGTGGGGTGTACTCCACTCTCACATCCTCGGGGAGGTTGTCGTGGGTCACGGTGACTTTAGATGACAGCCTCTGCAGTGGGGGACACACCCATCAGCCCGCTGGACCCCCCGGCTCTGGGATCAGGTCTCACTCACTTACATTGTAGGCGTTTTCTATCAGCTGGACAACGTTTCTGGAGTCCTCTGACAGAACTCCCACCTCTGATTTGGGAATCATTTTAGAGAGTTCCTGGGGAAGAAATTCCATTAAAAAACAAACCGATTAAGTCTCTCTTTGCTGTATGAACCCAAAGAGGAAGGCTGGCCAAAAGCAGGGCTCCTTCACCCACCTTGTACACCGTCTGCACGTTTTGCGTCACTGCGAAAATGGGCTGAATATTGTTCTTCTCCAGCTGAATAGCCAGTTGTCCCACAGACGGGTAGTCCTGCAAGCCACACACAGGGAAATCCTTCAGTTATTAGTGTAACCGGAGGTACCGCCCCCCCCGACACCGCGTTAGCTCCGCCTCCTCCTGACACGCCTCAGAGGAGTGATGCTTTGGAACAGTGAGAGAGCCCATGAATCCCACCTACCATGTCGCTGCTCTGGATGTAAAGATTGTTTTTCATGTGGCATTGTTCATCATTGGGCTCCAGAATACCAGCCAGTTTCCCGTCCCCAGCCATGTGGAATCCAGCGTCAGTGGCCAGCACAAGCAAACGAGTGCTGTTGTTCCTCCAGCCCACCTCCATCTGCACGGTAAGCCTACCATCAGGGGCCTTCCCAGAGCTCCCCCCATCCTCCCTCCATCCAGCCCTACAGATCCACATCCATCATTCTGAGACACAGTAGTCCTTACCCCGCAGATGGCAGCTTGCATCATGGCGTCCAGACTCCCCTCAGGTGAATCCAGGTTTCCAGAAATATACTGTTTTCCCACTATTTTTCTGAACTCCTCCCTGTCGGACGTCATGCTGAGCACGTGTCTGTAGCCGAAGGCCGCCTGGCAGAACTGCTCCCCCTCGTCACACGGCTTCTGCAGCTTGTCTTTGTTGGTGTTGGTGTAGGGGAGGACTGTTTTGTCAACAAAGGCGCCGAACCCTGGAAGGACACAGTTAGTGTGTGTGGCTCTCCATCCAAAACAGCCGATGGCTCAGGCTATGTCAGGCTCCAGGGTCAGCTGTTTGAGGAATGGCTTTTAGCATTGATGCTAAAATGGAGGCTGAGAGGACCAGGTTGAATACACTTAGAGCTAATAAAAAAGTCTGTTTTCGATGCTCTGTTGGAATGGAGTCTCATTTCTTATTTAGATGTAACCTGTGTGTGAAGCATGGTGTAACGAAGAGCTGTCAATAAGCATTCTACAGACATCAGATGATCAGACTGCCGTTCTTTACCTATTTGGGCATAAGCTGTGATTTTCTCCAGGGCTTTAAAAAGATCAGTGCCAAGGTTTTTGACCTTTTCCAGATCATCTTTCATGGAATAGGACAGATCCATCAGATAGTACAGATCCACTGGATAGCCCTCAGCTCTCTTAAAAGAAACCGTGAAGGTGGTCGGTAGCCCTGGAAAAGCAGAGCAGAGAGTCAGGACTGAACGGGAACCGGAACCAAAAACACTGACAGGAAGCTCCAATGGAAACGCCTGACAGTAGAAACATGGCAGAACGGATGCTGAAGGAGGTGGAGCTGCTCAGAGGGTGCTGTGAGACAGGAAGCAGGGCCCACTGACCAGGTCTCAAGTGCAGGTGGACCTTCTGTGGGCTTATCTGGACCGGGTCCTGCTGGCTGAAGGAGGTGGACAGAGACTTGTTCATGGTAATGTTCAAAGTGTTCTCAGGGTAGAGGATTTCCTCCTCCTGGCAGCCTCTCTGTCGGAGCTGAGCTCGGGTGTCACAGCGCACGGCCTCCTGCTCACCGCGCTTGGAGAAGCTCTGGAAAAAAGAAGAAAACCCCCTTAAAGATCCAAAGCATTCAGCAGAACTAGAGCAGGGAACCTGAGATGAAGCCGTCCTCACATCCAGAACCAGCTGCTAGAGTTCTGACCAGATCCAGGAAACAGGACCACGTCAGTCCAGTTTTCAGGTCTCTCTTCTGGCTTTCTACCACTCAGAGAACAGACTCTAAACCAGCTGGACTCCGAGAACCAGGTTCTGGTCTCCTGCTGGGGCCGAGAGTCAGAACTAAACCGGGTTCTGGTCTCCTGCTGGGGCCCAGAACTATTTCAGCTCCATGCTCCTAAAACCAGGATCAGTCTTCCTGAAGACGTGAGACAGAACTAAACTCTGGATGCTTAAATCCAGATAAAAACATCTGTTTAACTGAGCTGATGGAAACGGGATGGATTTTATCTGCTCCCTTCACTTTTTATTTGTCAAATCATTCTCTTTTCCTGTTTTTCTGCTTTTAAATTCCTTGTGAAGCCCATTGAATTGTCTTGTACACGAAATGTGCTGCTGAATAAACTGGCCTTGCCTCACACTTTTCAGCATCCAATGTAGTTTGGTTTCAGTAAAACTTGCCACTTGAACCAGCAGCTCTTATCCAGGACCAGCAGCTCCATCGTCTCTCACAGAGCTCACAGCTGGAAGTATTTTCTCTGCACGCTCAGGATGAAGGACCGAATTGAAGTTAAGATTAAGAATCTTGTAGATTTCAATTGTTTTTTGATTGGCTCTATTGAACTGGATGTTGTTGGAATTGAATGACCTCAAACTGATTGTATTTAGATTTTCTCACAGCAATGTAATTGGCATGTGTATCTTTGAAGGGCCCGGGGATGGCGTTGGCTGTGTGTGGGTGCTTTACGAATGACTGTGAATGGAGCTGAAGGCGTCCTGGAAGAGTGAACTCCTCACCAGCTGTTGGCACCAGGCACAGTGCGGCCCAGACCGGATGCAGTCACTACAGGACTCGATCCCCGACTTCAAGCACACTTCCTCTGGTTCACACAGCCCTGCAAAGAAAGCCCAGATCAACACGTAGCAGGACACAGGACATGAAGTGTGTGTGAATAAGATTGGCCTGTTTCATGCCTTACTCCCACGGAGCATGAGACACTCTCTGTCTTACTTCTGTTCCAACCTAATGTGTACAAATGATTCTGTGTGGGATTAAAATGTAGTGAATACATTTCTATTAGTTTCACATTCATATTTAAATACATCACCATGCCCCATTCTGCCACTATGTGTGCTTCTGTTCTCATGGGGTTAGGGTTAGGGTTAGAAAACACCTACTGTTTAGGACCTATCATCTAAAGGCAGAAGAGGCCATAATAGAGGAACCAAAGTGCCTTCCCTCCCATGTTGTGAAAGTGTTTCAGAGATGAGAACATGTCATGGTGAGTCACTGATGTCGTGCACGCAGAGTGAACTCCTTCCAGGATCCCCAAACGATGTGAGATCTGGCCTAGTAACTCCAATATTGTGGAGGCCCGCATTTTGTGCCCGTTCAATGTTTGAACGAGGGGGGCCCAGTGGTTAGGCCCAGAAGCGGGCCATGTTTTGGCCTTCCCATTCATTTCCTATGGGATGGCACTTCGCCCTTTTTCGCCATTTAATCGAAAACGCCCGGACTAATGAGAAAGTTGTATACAAGCATGCGTCCCGTGGTCGGTTTGGATGTGCGTGGTGATTTTGGGCCTGATCCGTGGAACCGTGTGGGACTATTTACGCGCCTAAAATCGGGCGACAACGGAAAAGGAAAAGCCGCGGAATAAATATGCACAATAGCAACAGGGGGGCCACTGGGGGGGCCTGCCTGCCCCTATTAATGCACAACCTGAGGCTGACAGCACCGAGTCCTGCCAGTGACGGCTTGGTGATGTTCTACCTTACTGCTCAAGTTTGAGACCTGGTTTTGGAAACTTACCATTTCTACCCATCATTAGGAGCAGAAGGAGGAGGACAGCCTGCTGCAGGTCCTGGGGACAGAGGAGGGACACCTGAAGTGGCTGGAGTCAGCTCTGCTAAGTCACATCGGTTAAAAAGCAAAAAGCTGCTAAAAGAGGAGTCAGCTCTTACCATGAGGAGGCCCAAACTGCTCCCTGAGAAGCTTCTAGCTGATCCAAAGTGCTGGCCGGAACCTGCAGAGAGATGGCAGGTCTCCACTTTTAGCATTCGCTCACTGACACCCTGAAATATCCCACAAGCCTGATCTGAAGTCAGTCACCAGCCCAGGATCTCAGCTAAAGCTAATCCGGACCATGACTGCCAAACACAACTGGAGTAAGAAATACAAATAAAAACCAGGTTGAATCTTTTTTTTAGTGTGGACTAAATAACTAAAGAAT